CAAACTACATTTAAACCTCCCACATGTTTATATCAATAGCCCAAACCATGCGCCGTCTCGTGGTCTCAGACAGCAGATTTAATATTTACTTTATTCAAAATCGGTTTTCAGTTAAGATTAACATATATATAAATCGTTATTTATCTTTCTTTGTATAATTATATTTTTGCCTGTCGAAGGGCTTTTGCCCGAAAGCTCGTAGCATTCAATCAATAAAAGAAACTCATCTTCTGATCCTCCTTAATTGATATAACTTACTAGAAGAGTATTTCCCTTTAATAGTATTATTTTTATTTTTATATTTTGCTACTCTGTACACTTCCCTATTTTGCTTATCTTTTATTTATCACTCATAGTTTGTGCTTGCCTGAAATAAATTGTTGTCTCATCCCGAAGTTGGTCTTCCCTAATTTTCCACGTGGCAATATAAACAGAATGAGCAATATACAAAAGTTATAGCTTAGATCTGGTGGATTAATTTGGCGAAATTGATGTGAAGGTTCACATTACTGATGAGTTAAGAACTTTTCCTAATATTTTTCATTTTCAGTTCAATAATTTCAGAAATTCTTCCTATTTTTAAAAAAGTGAATAGCATTATATAATTTCATCCTCTCTAAAAGAAGATGAATAAAAAATATACATAAGGAATTAGCGCACCATCTGTAATTTAAAAAATGAAATTATTCTGATGCAACTTTTTTATTTTTAAAGGTTTTTATTTAACTTGCTTCCATGTCTGTCCACACAAATCTTGTAATCAATTTTTATTATATTTACAGAACACCTAGAAGTCTGAAATTTTTACAGTTGTTCAAACCTGGTGACAATACAGGTTGACAAAATCATCGGTTTCCGACAGCCATGAACCAGGATCGAATCCCGTATTGTACACTTTTTTTCTGTAAAAACCTGTTCATATTGTCACGGTAGAGAAGACAAGTATTCCAAAAGCTTAATTATAAATAATTTATTAATTAAACTTATATATTGCAAAATGTGTCAATTGATTTTTCAAGTGGTAATTTACAAGCATGGTAAGGGGTGATGACTATGCAAATATTTATGATGATAAACAACAGAGTATTCAAAAATAATTATTCAGTGACAATATTATTCATTGTAAATAACATAAGCTAGGTTACTCTTTTTGAGTGGCACCTAATACAGTTATTTTGGAACAGGAACATGAACAAAATGCAATATTACAGCGGTATGGTACAGGTTGACAAAATTTAAAACGTCTGGGTGGACGGGAATAAACTAATTTCTATGTTTCCTTTAAAATTTTGTGATCGATTTTAAATATATTTACAGAGTCTCTATAAGTTTGGAAAATTTGGTAGTTGTTCAAACCTGAAGACACATCGCAAGTTGGCCAAAATTTCAGACTTCTGGGTGGTTGGTATTGTAGGCAATTTTTTTTTTCTATATTTCCTTTCAAATTTTGTGACCGATTTTTAATATATTTACAGAGTATCTGTAAGTCTGGAAAACTTGGTACAGTTGTTTAAACCTGATGACACATTGTAAGTTGACAAAATTTCAGACTTCTGGGTGCTTGGTATTGTAGGCTATTTTTTCTATATTTCCTTTAAATTTTGTGACCGATTTTTAATATACTTCCTGATCACGTATGAGTAAAAGTATCTCGTATAAGTCTGGTATTTAATAGAATAAAATTCAATCACACTAACATTGAAATTGTAAACAATATCAGACTTCCAGGTGGTCGTGGTGGTCAGGAATAGACTGAAAAGAGAATTTGTATATTCCCTTTCAAACGACGGAAAAAAGGTGAACCCGTTTCGCTGGCGTAATGAGTGGCTGGAATTCTATAAAAATGTGGTCGGGAGAGGTCGAGACTGGACTAATTTCTATATTTCCTTTCAATTTTTGTCACCAAGTTATCATACAGGTATATTCCTGAACCCAGATAGAAGTTTTATTAATACAAATATTTACAATATATTTTACACACATATATATATATTGAGATGCATTAGCGCGCCATCTGTTATCAAAATTCGAAACTATTATAGACGCGTATGATTCTTTTTGAAAATAAACAATATCTACTGCCCCCTTACTGGAATGGAAAATTTAATGCGAGGACCTCCCATTAATTTTTCCATTGCAGTAAGGGGGCAGTAGATATTGTTTATTTTCAAAAAGAATCATACGCGTCTATAATAGTTTAGAATTTTGACACATATTTATAATATGTACAACATATTCACAACATTGATAGAATTTCACTTTTTAAATCTATTCAAATACAAAAAAGTCTGTAGTTTTTCATTTGGCATTCACTTCCATTATCTTAACTTATCTGAATGACACTATAATAGGATTTAGAACTAGGTGTGAAAGAATTCGCAGTCATAGTTTCGTTCCGGGTATATGCAAATTATATGACTAATTTGCGTATTTTTATAATAATTTAATATGTTTATGATAATAATATATGTTAATGAATTATACTATCACACACATAGCATTACTAGTAGTGAAGATATTTTAACAATTATAATTATTTAGTATAAAATAATATTCGTTTTGGTAAAAACCTTTAGTTAGGCACTACTAGGACAACGCCAGCTTATTTGTTTTTTTTTTTTATGAATTTGGTATCCAGTGAGAAAATATTGTAACGAAGTATTTATTATTTTATTAACAGAGTATCATTTTTTATGTTTATATTTTTCTACTCTGTAAAATTCCCTCATTGCTTTTTTTAATCATTCATAATTTTGTATTTGCCTTAAATAAATTGCTGTGTCATCCTGAAGTTTGTCTTTCCTAATTTCCACGTGGCAATATAGAACGAATCTTTAAATAATGACGCAACTAAAGCAAAATTTTCATCATCTTCTATATATATAAAAATGAATGTTTGTATGTTTGTCTGTTGGTTTGTATGACCTGTATACAAATTCGCAGTAGTTCACTAATTCAAACCAAAATTTCCATACATAGGTAAAAAATAACGGGGATGACGATAGGCTTTTTAAAAAAATAAATAAATCAATTATTAAAACTATATATTCGAATTATTCTACTTAGCTCACGAGCAGCGCCCACTAGAACGTGGGCGAGCGATGTGCCGGCGGGCGCGCGCCCGTTGGCTGCCGGCGAGCACGTGACTTCCCTCCCCCCCCCCCCCCCCCCCCCCCGTTCGAGAAAATGTAATCGTCCGGCTGCCGGCCGGTTGGACAGTCCAAGTTCCCACCGCGCGCGGTCCTGGCGCGTGGGGGCAGAGTTGGTGACACAGCTGTGCCAAGTGCCAAAAAAGCCTCGCGGGTGACCTCCGGGAACTACGTCCATCTTCCATATGTAATATACATTTAATCGTGTAAAACCCGGGCGTTGCCCGGGTCATTCGTCTAGTTATTTATATAAACGTTAATAAAATATGTTTAAAAATCGCATCATTTGAATTTAAAATTCGAAATTATTTAGCGGGATGGCTTTTTTTCTTCTTCAAATAAAGCAATTGCTTACTGATCTTCTAAGTCTTCTTCTTCTTTCTTATCTCCAATCAATCATATTAAGGTATCAAGCTTGTAAAACTAGAGACTTTTGATGGTGTCTGCCGGGGAAGAGTAGAGCTCATCAATGGATGAAACAATACAGTCAATAATGTGTTTTGGGGTTGCAGGTTGAGAATTACACTTAGTACATAGTGGGAAAACCTTCCAACCATTCTGGAAAGTCATTGTCCGTAGATGACCAGACTTAAGTCTGGAAATCAAAGACTGCTCTTCTAACTAAAACAGCTCAATAAAATACTAAAGCGATCTGTTAGATTAAACTGTCGAATCCTCAATATCCCCTTCCAATATTTTCTCATTGCAGTAAGGACAATAGGATTTTTAAAAAGAAATAATTCCCTCAGTTTTGAAATGCACATGATACATGAGAGTGAAAATGCTTGCTGATATAAATTTAGCATATGGTGTTCTTACCACTAAATGGACATTTTTATTATTAACTAGACTAAACTTTAGAAGTAAATTTTCATTTTAAAAGACTTATTTTTGAAGATAAGTAGCGAATTGTTCTAAAATACGATTAGAATGATTATAATTTTGAATAGTTGGAGATTTACTATGCAACTTATAATTACCTGTGTCATTAGACCCTTCATATTCTAGTTAGTTCTTCGACTTTTAACCGTTATTTAGCTCTCGCTATAACGAGAAAATCATTCTCACAATTTGGTTATAGCGCTGTCCCTGTTGTCAGTCAAACCTGTGATAAATTTTAGCTCGGCACAATTCCGTCACCAAAAAGATAGCTATAAGAGATAAAGCGTCCAAAGTTTAAAATTTCTTATCGGTTGTCCTTTCCAGCTAACTAGATGGCTTCAGCACATGAAATTCACATGGCTTTTGTTATCTTCCGGCGAAGTTACGACATCTATTGCTGCCTGATATAGGTAACACTACTACAACAGTTATTGAACATCACCACAGGTTTCTGAAGATGAGTTTCTTCTAATTTTATTAACGTTGTCTCAAGCTTTCAGGCATCTCTGCCCTCTACTGGAGAACATAAACGAATAAAACGCCGCCTGATGCTAACTAAACTATTACGAAAATCAACACTATAACAGTCGAAGCCCCATTTGATCGAACTTTATAGAGAGAATTTCTCTACTTCTCGAAATATCGCATAATACTATTATTACATTTTAAAATATAACACCATATCGTAAAACGGTACATTTTAAATCTTTTTTCCCAAGACAGGTGATTTTCATTTTATAAAACCTTGAGCTATCCTAATAAAACACATTTTTACCATAAGAAAGAAAAATAAATTTTAAAAAGTTCGAGGTTATATACAAACTAGCCGAATGACCCGGGCAACGCCCTGGTTTTACCCGATTAAATGCTTTTATTCAAATACTATTCGTTACAATTATAAATTGGCGCCGTGGATGTCATTCTTGTATAATATATAAATGAGTTTTAAAAATTGTAAAAAAAAAAAAATGAAACGGCCGGGAATCGAACCCGGACCGTCCGCGTGGCAGGCGAGCATTCTACCACTGCACCACCGATGGTTATGAGAAATGGCCATATTTGGGTATTTATTCCATTCACAAAAGCAAACGTTGACAGAATTAAGAATTGTTGCTTGATTATGACGCTGATAACTGTATATATTAATAAGGAGGGGAGGAAAAAAATATAATTCAATGGTTTTTTGTTCCACATCTCAACAGCATATAAATGGTACTAATTTGTGAAGGAGAAGGATTTATTTTCGGTTTCGGTTTCAGTTTTTTTTTTTAAATACATTTGTTCTCGATCTCCTCACCGCGCAGATTCAATTTGCTGAATAGAGGACCACACCTGCTTTGACAGAAAATAACCCCAGCCTGGATTTTATCCTTGTTCGAAAATTCATCGATTTGGATCAACGCACTGAGATGACCAATCAATTGAATTGTCTTGATAAACTCAATTACATCACTGTGAATACCATTTTTTCGCATTTCAAATTGCAAGTAAAGGTTATGAAAATAACAAGTGACATTTCCAAAGTATGGAATTGTATTCTAAACAAGAAAATTGACAATATTTAGTGCTGTTCTTTTCACGAATCTATCAATTTTTTAGACGCTTGAATCTTCATTTAGAGTTCTTTTTATTCTTCTATATATATATTAATAAATTATATAAGATATTTAGGGAATAGGGCATTTTTATAATAATTCAAAACGAATATGTATGAAAAAAGAGATAGATATAAAAAACGACCATAGCAACAATAGGGCTAAATATAATTAAATGAAAGGAATATTTCTCTCAGATAGTTACTGGGCAATTAGACTTGAAAGCACAAGTTTAGAGGTATAAAAAAGAAGAAAGTTGAATTCAAAGCCATAGGACGAAATTTTCAAAAATTTTCGCGATATGATAATTTGATACTGGTGTCACAATCTGCACCTTGAGAAAACGCAAGAATTTAAATGGAGGCAACACCGAAGATTCACGCTGAGAAGACTCAAGGAATTGTTCAGGGCAGTACCACAGTTGCAATAACTGGCTGCTGTGGTTTTGGAGGACACAGGTTGAGAAGGTTGAGGGAATTGATCAGAGAGGCTCCGCGGTTTCAAGACCTGGCCGCTGATTTTGAAGGCCCCTCGTTGCTAAGGCACAAAGAATTGATCAGGGCGGTACCACGCGCGCGCGACTGCAAGATCTGTCACTGGTGTTATAAGCTGTACGTTGCGAAGGCTCAAAAAATTGATCAGAGTGACCACGCGGCTGCAAGATCTGTCACGGGTGCCAGAAGCTGTACGTTGCGAAGGCTTAAATAATACATCAGGGTGACCATACGACTGCAAGATCTGTCACTGGTGTCAGAAGCCGTACGTTGCGAAGGCTCAAAAAATTAATCAGGGCGGTACCACAACTGCAAGATCTGTCACTGGTGTCAGAAGCCGTACGTTGCGAAGGCTCAAAGAATTGATCAGGGCGGTACCACAACTGTAAGATCTGTCACTGGTGCCAGAAGCCGTACGTTGAGAAGGCTCAAAGAATTAATCAGGGTGGCGACACAACTGCAAGATCTGTCACTGGTGTCAGAAGCCGTACGTTGCGAAGGCTCAAAGAATTGATCAGGGCGGTACCACAACTGCAAGATCTGTCACTGGTGCCAGAAGCCGTACGTTGCGAAGGCTCAAAGAATTGATCAGGGCGGTACCACAACTGCAATATCTATCACTGGTGCCAGAAGCCGTACGTTGAGAAGGCTCAAAGAATTGATCAGGGTGGCCACACGACTGCAAGATCTGTCACTGGTGTCAGAAGCCGTACGTTTCGAAGGCTCAAAGAATTGATCAGGGCGGTACCACAACTGCAATATCTGTCACTGGTGCCAGAAGCCGTACGTTGCGAAGGCTCAAAGAATTGATCAGGGCGGTACCACAACTGCAATATCTATCACTGGTGCCAGAAGCCGTACGTTGCGAAGGCTCAAAGAATTAATCAGGGTGGCCACACGACTGCAAGATCTGTCATTGGTGTCAGAAGCCGTACGTTACAAAGGCTCAAAGAATTAATCAGGCCGGTACCACAACTGTAAGATCTGTCACTGGTGCAGAAGCCGTACGTTGAGAAGGCTCAAAGAATTAATCAGGGTGGTACCACAACTGCAAGATCTGTCACTGGTGTCAGAAGCCGTACGTTGCGAAGGCTCAAAGAAGTGATCAGGGCGGTACCACGACTGCAAGATCTGTCACTGGTGTCAGAAGCCGTACGTTGCGAAGGCTCAAAATATTAATCAGGGCGGTACCACAACTGCAAGATCTGTCACTGGTGTCAAAAGCCGTACGTTGCGAAGGCTCAAAGAATTGATCAGGGGCGGTACCACAACTGCAAGATCTGTCACTGGTGTCAGAAGCCGTGCGTTGTGAAGGCTCAAAGAATTGATCAGGGCGGTACCACAACTGCAAGATCTATCACTGGTGCCAGAAGCCTACGTTGCGAAGGCTCAAAGAATTGATCAGGGTGGCCATACGACTGCAAGATCTGTCACTGGTGTCAAAAGCCGTACGTTGCGAAGGCTCAAAGAATTAATCAGGGCGGTACCACAACTGCAAGATCTGTCACTGGTGTCAGAAGCCGTACGTTGCGAAGTCTCAAAGAATTGATCAGGGCGGTACCACGACTTCAAGATCTGTCACTGGTGTCAGAAGCTGTAGGTTGCGAAGGCTCAAGAATTGATCAGGGCGGTACCACGACTGCAAGATCTGTCACTGGTGTCAGAAGTTGTACGTTGCGAAAGCTCAAAGAATTGATTAGGGCGGTACCATGACTGCAAGATCTGTCACTGGTGTCAGAAGCTGTACGTTGCGAAGGCTCAAGAATTGATCAGAGTGACCTCACGACTGCAAGATCTGTCACTGGTGTCAGAAGCCGTACGTTGCGAAGGCTCAAGAATTGATCAGGATGGCCATGCGACTGCAAGATCTGGCGACAGATTATAGAAGCCACACGTTGCGTTGATCAGTCCAGTACCACGGCTTGTGATGCACATGATACATGTGAGTGAAAATGCTTGTATATATAAATGTAGTATACAGTGCTCTACCCACTAAATGAACATTTATATTATATCAATTTACAAATTTAGAAGTATAATTCCATTTTAAAAGACGTATTTTGAAGTAACGAATTGTTCTGAAATACAGTTAAGATAATTAGAATTTGGAATAATTGGAGATTTACTATGCAACTCATAATTACCTGTGTCATTAGATCATGAGACCCTTCTATATTCGATTTTGATCTTCTTACATAAGTATTTAAAGACATAGTTTCTCTTTGTGTCATATTTTTAAATTAATTTTTATATTCCTATTGAGGTAGAGGAGAAATATAGATATATCTTATCAAACTCAACTCATTTTTTACAAGTCGTGCGTTATTCGGGTAGAACATTTCTTGTTAAAAAAAACAAAGAGAACCGCCTGACCTGGTCCAAGCGTCTCTTGAACAAGATTAAATAGCTGATTAGCCAGGGTTTCTACGTGTTTTCTTTAATGACAAAAACTTAGTGCTATATTGCTAAAAATTATAATCGATTGTTATCTATCTATGCAATAGCATCATCCAAAGTAATCCAGTTGTCAATTGAGAACTTTGGAAATGCTATTTTTTAGTAATAATTCTATGAAATAATGGAAATTTAAAGCCTTAAAAGTGAGTTCTGATGCAATATTTTATAAAATAAAAAAACCTTGATTATTTATTGTCATAATTGATCCAGGTAATTGGCGTTTGGCGCTCCAGGAACCTGGGTTATAAATATCTCTCTCTACCATAGTTGATACAATATTTATCCCTTTATTATTTCAAACAATAACTTAACCATTTGATCGTTTCTTTGAACACACATTTTCCTCTCCTTAAATTAAAACACTTATTTTATGTGATTGTTCAATTTATAAACTATATCAAGTTACTTTTCTCTGCGTTTAAAAATATGTATATCTTAAAATAGTTCATTTGTAAAGATTTTGAATGCGAATTTTTGAAGTGCGTGTTGCATTTTATACTATTGATATGTGCTTTCATTTAAGATGTCAATCTAATCTAATTTGGAGTGTATAAATCTGCGTTCTTTAGATGCTGCAAAATACATTTTGCGAGAATGAATAAATATGAGGTGTGTTCAAAAAGTATCGCGACTTTTGAATTTTCGCGGGTTACGTATATTCGAATTTCGATCTTTTTGTAACTTTATGTTGGTACTCATGTCTCTCACTTATGCCGACAAGCTCGGCCATTTTGAATGTTCACTTAATTGTTGACAGCTGCTTTGCTTGCAGGTGTTTTGAATCGTCTTCGATTTTTACCTATTAAAAAAAATGGATCAAAGAACCTGTATCAAATTTTGTGTGAAAAACGAAATTAAGTGCGCGGATGCATTCCGAATGTTGACTGTGGCATACGGAGAAGCTACCTTGGACCGAAGCAACGTTTATCGGTGTTACAAAATGTTCTCAGAAGGTCGAGAAGATGTGAACGACGAAGAGCGTGCCGGACGCCCGAGCACTTCAACAACAGACGAAAAAATTAATGAAGTGGAGAAAATGATATTGGCCAATCGTCGAATCACCGTTAGAGAAGTTGCTGAGGACCTAAACATATCGATTGGCTCGTGCCATTCGATTTTTATCAATGATTTGGGCATGAGACGGGTCGCCGCGAAATTCGTACCAAAATTGCTCAATTGCGACCAAAAACAGCATCGCATGAACATTGCTAATGAGTTGTTGGACTCTGTCCGCGACGACCCAAATTTGCTCCAGAGGGTCATAACTGGTGACGAAGCGTGGGTTTATGGTTATGACGTGGAAACCAAAGCTCAATCATCTCAATGGAAGCTGCCGCACGAACCAAGACCGAAAAAAGCGCGCCAAGTTCGGTCGAATGTGAAAGTTTTGCTGACAGTTTTCTTCGATTGCAGGGGCGTGGTGCATCATGAGTTCTTGCCACAGGGTAGAACGGTCAATAAGGAATATTACCTGCAAGTTATGCGCAATTTGCGCGAA